ATGGAACTTGAAGAACATCAAAATTCACATACTGGCGAGAAACCATTCGAATGCAATGTATTTTTATTTATTTATTTATTTTCTTTTTTAATAAACAATTTTTTATATAAATTATAAACATTTAATTTTATATATAACATTCAATTTCTTAAATATAACACACAAATTATTAACATTTTAATAAAATAAGTAGAATAGAATGTTTTGTTATTTGATTATATCAGTCTCTTCTAATCATTTAATATTTAAATATATTATCATAATATCGTATTTTTGATTGATTAAATATGCATTGAGTTGAAAAATTATTACAACAACAATAACAATAATAGCAACAACAACAACAACAACAACTTAAACAATAACAATAACACTATTAATAATATCAAAAATATACTTATTTACATTTTGTTAAATATAACACATAAATTATTAACATTTTAATATATTTAGAATTCAATATTTTTGTTATTTGATTATATCAGTCTCATCTAATCATTTCATATTTAAATATACATTAAGTTGAATAAATTATTTTAAAAAATAAAAATTTGATTAATTCTACATTAACTTGAATAAACACAAATATGTTTAAAAATTAAAAATATATACATATTGAATTGAATAAATTATTTTCTGAAATTAAAAAATTGATTAAATATACACTAATTTGAAAAATTTATTAATGCAACAATAACAATAATAGCAACAACAATAACAACAAGAATGACATTATTAATAATATCACAAATGTACTAATCTAAATTTTATTCAAATTACAACTTCCTCTTCATCATAATCATATGTCGATTAAATATACAATGAATTAAATAAATTATTTTAAAAATTAAAAAATTGATTAAAATATACTACTGAGTTGAAAAATTATTACTATAACAATAATAGCAACAACAATAACAACAAGAATGACATTGTTAGTAACATCACAAATATACTAATCTAATTTAATCTAATTTAATTTAATTTAATCTAAGTTTCATTCAAATTACAACTTCCACTTCATCGTAATCATATGTCGATTAAATATACTATAATAATACTAATATATATATATATATATATACTAGAATAATAATACTATTAAATAAATTATTTTAAAAATTAAAAAATTGATTAAAATATACTACTGAGTTGAAAAATTATTACTATAACAATAATAGCAACAACAATAACAACAACAATGACATTGTTAGTAACATCACAAATATACTAATCTAATTTAATCTAATTTAATTTAATTTAATTTAATCTAATCTAAATTTCATTCAAATTACAACTTCCTTTTCATCGTAATCATATGTCATTGTTGTGTAACAAATAAATCATAATTGTGTAATACATTAAGCTTTCGAGTTGTAAAATTTTTGTTGCCAAAAGTTCAAATTTTACTAATTAATATTACACTTAAGTAACATTTAAATGAAGCAAATAATAATAAGAAGAGAAAAAAAAAAGGAAAAGGAAAGAAATAAAAGAGAAAATATTAAATAATAATTTTATGCAAAACCTGATTTCATACAATTTTTATATTTTCATTTAAATTTATGAAATAAACAAAAGCAAAACAAATGAAACAAAGAAAAAGAAAGTTAATAAATAAAATTTAAAATAATTTGAATTCATTTTGTTACAAAATTTTGCAAATATATGAAAAGTTTTTGATAATTTCATTAATTCCTAAAAATTATAGCTGAAAAAGAAATTTGTTTTTTTTTTCATCATTGTTTAAAAAAATAAATAAATAAACAACAGCAAACTATTAATAGAACTGGATTTTAGATTTTACTATTAAAATGTTTTTTTGTTGTTTTTTTTAAATGAGTTTATTTTATTTTTTTAATTATAGTTAAAAATTACAATTAAAAAAAAATATTTTTTATCATAATTAAAAAAATAAATAAATAAACAGCAAACTATAAATAAAATTGAAACTTAAATTTCACTATTAAAATATTTTCTTTCATTCCTAAATTAGAGTTAAAAATTATAATTGAAAAAATTTTTTCATCATTAGCTAAAAAAAAAGTAAATAAATAAAATTAAGCTTTAAATACAAATTGAAATTTAGATTTTACTATTAAAATATTTTCTTAAATGAATTTTCTTTTATTTCTTAGTCACAGTTAAAAAATTATGATTAAAAAAAAAAATTTTTTTTTTCATCAAATAAATAAAAGTTTAAAAAATAAATAAACAAATAAAAATCAAGTTATAAATGGTATTGAAACTTAATTTTTGCTATTAAAATATTTTCTTAAATTTCATTTTTTAAATTACAATTAAAAAAAAATTTTTTTTTCATCATAGTTAAAAAATAAATAGATAAAATAAGTAAAATCAAAAACTATAAAAGCTATGAAATAGAATTAAAACTTAATTTTTGCAATTTAAAATATTTCTTAAATTTCATTTATAATTGAAAAATTTCTAATTAAAAATATTCTTAAATTTCATTTCTAAATTATAATTTTAAAAAAAAAATTTTTTTTTCATCATAGTTAAAAATAAAATAAGTTAAATCAAAAAAACTATAACTACAAATTGAAACTTAACTATAAATACAAATTAAAAGTTGCTTTGTTTTTGTTTGTTTATTTTTTCAAATGTAATAATTTTCATTTCATAAATTTTATTTTTCTTTTATAATTAATTAAATAAAATAATTTATTGCAGATGTGTAAAGAAAATTTTTTTTTTCATCATAGTTAAAAATAAAATAAGTTAAATCAAAAACTATAACTACAAATTGAAACTTAACTATAAATACAAATTAAAACTTGTTTTTGTTTTTGTTTGTTTATTTTTTTCAAATGAAATAATTTTAACAATTTTCATTTCATAAATTTTATTTTTCTTTCATAAATAATTAAATAAAATAATTTATTACGGATGAAAATAAAATAATTTAAATTAAAAACTATAACAACAAATTGAAACCTAACTATAGATACAAATTGAAACTTAACTATAAATACAAATTGAAACTTGCTTTGTTTTTGTTTGTTTATTTTTTTTTAAATGTAATAATTTTCATTTTATAAATTTTATTTTCTCTTTCATAAATAATTAAATAAAATAATTTATTACAGATGAAAATAAAATAAATTAAATCAAAAAACTATAAATACAAATTGAAACTTAACTATAAATACAAATTAAAACTTAACTATAAATACAAATTGAAACTTAACTATAAATACAAATTAAAACTTAACTATAAATACAAATTGAAACTTGCTTTGTTTTTGTTTGTTTATTTTTTTAAATGTAATAATTTTCATTTTATAAATTTTATTTTTTCTTTCATAAATAATTAAATTTATTACAGATGTGTAAAGCACGATTTAATCGTCGTTCAACGCTTTGGAATCATAAACGAATTCATTCGGATGATAAACCATTTGAGTGCAATGTATGTCGGATGACATTTAAATGGAAAAATTCATTGAAATGTCACAAAGAGATGCATCAAAGAAAAAATGAAATGACAGGAATTGAAAGTGATCCATTAGAAAAGACACTTACTTATGCGACAGCAGCTAAACGACGACATGTTTGTTTTTATTAAACTTTAATATCTTTCTTTTAAATTTAAGCGAGAACGAAAAAAACAGAAAGAAAAGTTAGAGTGAGAAGATAAAGTAAACAAATTAAACTAGTTAAGTAAAATTGATAAATAATTAATGATAATGATAATATGTTAAATGAAATTAATAAATAATTAAGAGTGGGATTAATAATGATGGTGATAAGTTAAGCAAATTACTAATTAATGATAAGATTAAAAATAATGATAATAAGTTAAGTGGAATTAATGATTAGTTAATAATAATGAGGAGCTGAATAAATTAATAATTAATAATAATGATAAAAATTTAACTAAATTGCTAATTAATTAATGATAAGATTAATTATAATGATAATAAGTTTAGTGAAGTTAACAATTAATTAAGAGTGGGATTAATAATGATGGTGATAAGTTAAGTAAATTACTAATTAATTAATGATAGATTAATTATAATGATAATAAGTTAAAGGAAATATAATGACTAATTAATAATAATGATGAGCTGAATAATTTAATAATTAACGATAATGATAAAATGTTAAGTAAATTACTAATAAATTTAGTGAAACTAATAATTAATTAATAATAATGATAAAAAGTTAAGTAAATTACTAATTAATTAATGATAGGATCAATTATAATGATAATAAGTTTAGTGAAATTTATATTTAATTGATAATAATGATAAGCTGAAATAAATTAATAATTAATAATAATGATAAAAATTTAAGTAAACTGCTAATTAATTAATGATAAGATTAATTATAATGATAAAAAGTTTAGTGAAGTTAACAATTAATTAAGAGTGGGATTAATAATGATGATGATAAGTTAAGTAAATTACTAATTAATTAATGATAGGATTAATTATAATGATAATAAGTTAAAGGAAATATAATGACTAATTAATAATAATGATGAGCTGAATAATTTAATAATTAACGATAATGATAAAATGTTAAGTAAATTACTAATAAATTTAGTGAAACTAATAATTAATTAATAATAATGATAAAAAGTTAAGTAAATTACTAATTAATTAATGATAGGATTAATAATAGTGATAATAAGCTAAAGAAAATAAAAATCAATTAAGAGTAGGATTAATAATGATGGTGATAAGTCAAGTAAATTGCTAATTAATTAATGATAAGATTATTAATAATGATAATAAGTTTAGTAAAATTAATGATTAATTAATAATAATGATAAGCTAAAATAAATTAATAATTAATAATGATAGAAAGTTAAGTAAAATTAATGATTAATAATAATAAGATTAATAGTAATAAGTTAGGTGAAATTAATAATTAATTAAGAGTAGAATTAATAATGATGATAAGTTAAGTAAATTACTAATTAATTATTGATAGGATTAATAATAATGATAATAAATCAAGTAAAATAATAATTAATTAATAATAAAATTAATTTGATCATTTGCGGATCAAATTATTAGTTATTTATAAAATTATTTGCGTTTATATTTGCTAAAATTTATATTAATGATATTATTTAACTTTTAATATTTTGAATAATCTTATTAGCATAAAATTAATTATTATTAAATGAATAATTTTGTAAATGATAAAAAAGAATTATTGGGATAATTAAGTAAGTATTACTTATAAGTATTAATAAGTATTTAAAAGTAATACTTACAGTATTAAAAAATTATTACTTTTTCTGCAACAATTAAATTTTCTCACTTATTATATCAAAATTTTTTTATTTAAATATCAAATTTTTATTCGTATTTTTTCTTCCTTCCTTCTTTTTTTTTTTGCATAAAAGTTTATTTAAGTAATGTAAAAAGTTTGAAAAAATGAAATGGAAAGAGCAAATAAAAGCACATTTATACTTAATTACATTATCAGAATTTAATCAGTAATCATTTGATTATTTTTTTTTCTAAATCATTTTTTAACAGTCAAAAATATTCTATTTGAAAAATTTTTTGATATAAATTTTTTTTTAGAAAAATATTTATATTTAAATTAATAATAATAATAATTGCATAATTATTAATATAAACTTCCTTCTTTCATTCTTTTTTTTTTCATTTTTAAATTTATAATAAATTTAAATTTAAAATTTCAAATGAAATAATTTTTCTAATTTTTTTTTTTAGCTGGAAAATCATGATATTATAAATGCAAGTTCAAGTTCAGAAACAGGAATGGGTAGTATCCGTTTGACAACAAGTTCAGCAAGTGGTATTGGTCATTTGACAGGTTCAGGAAGGCGACGCAATGCCAAATTATCAGTGCATTCAAGATCGATCTTATCAACTGGCACTGATCTTATCATTGGTACTACAAATATCACAAATAATCCTAATCGAAACAATAATACAATCAATACTACTACTACAACAACAACCAATAACAACAATAACAATAACAACAACAACAATAACAATAACAATTCAAATCATTCATCACTTATTGGTTCAAATGATGCATTTATTCATGCACCATTACAAGCGGTAAGAAATATTTTTTTTTTTTGTTTCTTTTTTTAAATTTCAAAAACGAAAATTTCATTTTTTTTTTGAAACTTAAAATTAAATTTATTTCATATTCAAAAAAAAAAAAAGGAAAAATATTTTTATTTTTTGATAAATGATAAAATATTAAATTTATTTTTTTTAGCTATTTTTTCAATATTAAATATTATTAAGTTTTAACATGAAATTAAATTTATTTCATATTCAAAAAAAAGGAAAAATATTTTTATTTTAATTTTTTTGATAAATGATAAAATATTAAATTTATTTTTTTAGCTATTTTTTCAATATTAAATATTATTAAATTTTAATATGAAATTTTTACAATATATTTTAGCTATTAAAATAAATAAATTCTTTTTTAATTAAAAATGATATTATTTTGTTAATAATTGTAATTTTAATGAATTAAAGCTTTTTTTGGTTTTTAAATGAAAAAAATAAAAATGATTGCTGTTGTTGTTGTTTTCTTTTTTTTTTTGCTAAATTTAATTAAACAAAATAAAATAGCTTTTGCTAGATGAAAAGAAGTAAGAATATAAGTTTTTATATTTTAAAATATTTATATTTAAAATTTATATTTATTAATATGATTTATAATTATTTTGCTTTTGAAATATTATTTCTGGTAGTATTTATCAAAAATTAAATTTTAAAATAAAGTAAAAATAAAAATAATTTTTTTTAATAATACTTTTTTCCCATTCTTAAATTAATTAATTAATTAATTGAAATGGTAAAAAAACTTATTTTTCAACAGTCATCATTACTTAACGATCAACTTTGTTAATTAATAAGTTAGTAAGATGAATTGATTGATTACTTACTTACTTACTTCCTTACTTAGTTATTTACTTATGTCCTATATTTTCAACAAATTTTATTGACAGAAATGAATCTTTTCTACCTTTTTTTTGATTTTATTACAACAACCTGGAATTTACCTGAATTTACCTGTACTTTTTCTTGCATCATTTTCATTAGCACAAAGAAATGGATATAAAAACCAAAAAAACTTTTATCAAATAATATGTTTAAAATATTAGCAACGTAATAGGTTCAAAATAAAATGTAAACAAAAATTGAAATTGTAAACAAAATTAAAAAAAAAGTTTTTTTTTTTTGTTAGTATTAAAATTTTAATTTATAATAATAATAATTTTAAAAAAATAAAAATAATAAACAAAATTAAAAAAAGTTTTTTTTTTGTTAGTATTAAAATTTAATTTATAATAATTTAAATTAAAAATAAGCATTTGTTATTAAATAAATTATAATATCTTTAAAAATTCTTATTTTTTTTTCCCCTTCTTGCATTTAATTTTGTTTAATTTAATGAAAAGAAAAAGGTCACATTTCTCTCTCTCTCTGTCTCTCTCTCTCACTAATTTCTTGTTTTATCACATTCCTTATCAATTAATCATTTACCCATCGTCATACTGTCATTTTAGTATTGCTAAAAAAAAAAAAGGAAAGAAAAGAATTCGTAAATATTTTCTTTTATTTATTTATTTTTTTGAAATTTATCAAATTTTTTAAATTGATAAATTTGTTTATTTTTTATCATTTAAATTTATAAATAAAAAAATTTCTTTTCAGGATAGTTTCTTAAATATTCAAAAGATATTATCAATAAATGATCATAAAGAATTGAATTCAATTATTTATTTATTTATTTGAAATCTATCAAATTTTTTAAATTGATAAATTTGTTTAATTTTTATCATTTAAGTTTATAAATATTTAAAAAAAATTTTTCGGGATGGTTTCTTTATCAATAAATGATCATAAAGAATTGAATTCATTTATTTATTTATTTATTTGTAATCTATCAAATTTTTTAAATTGATAAATTTGTATAATTTTTACAATTTAAATTTATAAATATTTAATTCCTTTATTTATTTATTTTTTTGAAATCTATCAAATTTTTTAAATTGATAAATTTGTTTAATTTTTATCATTTAAATTTATAAATATTTTAAAAAAAAAATAAAATTTTCAGGATGGTTTCTTAAATATTCAAAAGATATTATCAAAAAAAATTGAATTCAATTGTTTATTTATTTTTTGAAATCTATTAAATTTTTTAAATTGATAAATTTGTTTAATTTTTATTATTTAAATTTATAAATATTTAAAAAAAAAAATTTTCAGGATGGTTTCTTTAGTAGTCAAAAGACGTTATCAATAAGTGATCATAAAGAATTGGATTCATTATTAAATAGTACCACACGTTTAACATCAATGCTTAAAGATGATTCAGCATTTAAAACTAATTTATGGTTTGTAATTTTTACTTTTTACTTTTCTTTTTTTAAAAATTATCTGTTTTAAAAAAAATTTAAAAAATATTTTGAAAATTTTTTTTTTAAAAAAAGAGAAAAACAAATAAACATTTTATTGATGTGTTTATATTGCTAGTAAACAATGCTAATTGTCTTTTTTTTAAATGGGTAATTGAAAAAATTAAATGAGTTATATTACTTCGTTAAAAATTTTTTAGTTTTATTTTTTTTCCTTCTAAAATTTAAATTTAAAATTTTGATTAGTAAAGTTTATCAGTTGCATATTCGATAGATTATATTTAAAAAATATTTAAAATAAATAAGTAAGTTATTTACTTTTTCATTAGTTATTATTAAATAATATTTTTTTTTTAAATTAATGCAAAAAGAAAGAAAAATGGGAATTTAATGAAAACTATTCTGAATAAATAAATAAAATAGTATTTTTTGTTTTTGTTCTTTCAATTTATTTTTTTTTTTAAAAAATAAGTGCAAAATTTGAAATGGATTTATTTTTTATTGAAAAAAGTACTGAAATTAGTAGAACGATACTGAAATTATGAGAAAGATTTTGATTTAAAATTAAAATTTAAAAAGTAATTTTTAAAATTATATTCTAATGAGCGCAATTAGAAAGAAGAAAGTAAATAATTTTTTTATTTAAATTTTCTTTTTATTAATTACTAATTTTTCAGCGATGATTTAGCAAATTTGGGAAATCAAAGTAATACATTTGATACAAAACAAGAAATGAATGTAAGTTTTTTTCAGTTCTAAAAAAAAAATTAATTTTTTAAAAACGAAAAGTAAAAATAAAAAAGAATGAAGCAGAATTGATAAATTTAACTTTGTCATAAAGAAGACATAAATAAATTTTGACAATTCAAAATTCACTTTAAAAATGAAATTGAAATTATTTAACTTTGTCATAAGGAAGACTTGAAAATTTTGACAATTTAAAATTCACTTTAAAAATGAAATTGAAATTATTTAACTTTCTCATAAAGAAGACATGAATAAATTTTGACAATTTAAAATTCACTTTAAAATTATTTAATTTCAATTTAATTTTTTTTAAATTTAGTCATACATAAATGTCAATATCCTTTCTTGTTGATATTTTTTAAGTTTCATTTTAATTAAATTTTCTTAGCTTATAACTTTGTTAGCTTAAAACTCTAAATTAGTAGTTTTAATTTAAAAAATTAAAAATAAATGCAAATTTTCAGCTTTTCCATGCTAATCCATTTATGATGTTCGGTGCTCATCAATTGGTAAGTTAAATTATACTTTTTTTTTCATTTTCATTTTTAATTAAATTCTTAGTAAGATTAATTTGCTAATTATTAATTACCATATTTATTCATTAATTAATTTATCATTTTATGTTATATTTAACATCTAATAAGTTAAAATTGTAGTAATATTTTTAATAAGTTTTATTTTTCTTATATTTAATAGTATATTTGATAAGTTATAATTTACTTATATATATATATATTTAATAAGTTTTTTTTATTTATTAATTAATTTATCGTTTCATATTATATTTAATATTTAATAAGTTAAAATTTTAATAATATTTTTAACAACTTTCATTTTTTATATTTGATAAGTTATAATTTAATCAATAATTATTATATTTAATAAGTTATAAATAATAAATTAATTAATTTATCCATTAATTAATTTATTATTTCAAGTTATATTTAATATAATTTTTTTTAAATTTTTCAATGCAATTGTTTTGTATTATTTTATTATTTATTTTTCATCATTCCTAATTTAGCTGAAAACTTTTCCATTAATTTTTAAAAATAATCCTTTTTATTATAGCTAAAAATATATCGATTGATTGATTTTTTTTTGATCAAAATTTTTATCCGAAATATATTATTTAAAATTGTAAACAAATAGCAAAATATTTTATGTGAGCAAATTATTTTTAAAACTTAATTTTGATCAAATAACACAAAATTAAAATCATCAAAAATTTGTTTATTTAATATTTGTAATTTCAAAATCTTTTTTTTTCTAATTTAATTGTGTTTACTTAATTTTTTATTTTCTGCAAATTCTTTCAAATTTCAGTGCCAAAAAAAAAAAATTATTAAATTAATTAATAAATTAAATTTAATTTTACAGCAAAATCCAATGCAATCATTTACGCCACCAAATTTGGCTTTTTCAAGTAGTAACGGTGGTTGCGGTGATTATTTTCATTTACATTTAAACAATCAAACTGATCAAATAACACAACAAAGCTTACAACAACAACAACCATTCGTATCGCAATATTCTAGCGGTGGTACTTCATCACAAACCACTGATATGTTAACTAATCATAGTCATAATGTGATTAGTTATCAGCCACAGGTATTACCTTTCTCTTTTACTTCTTATTGACTGAGCAAAATGTGATTAGTTATCAGCCACAGGTATTACCTTTCTCTCTTACTTCTTATTGACTGAGCAAAATGTGATTAGTTATCAGCCACAGGTATTACCTTTCTCTCTTACTTCTTATTGACTGAGCAAAATGTGATTAGTTATCAGCCACAGGTATTACCTTTCTCTTTTACTTCTTATTGACTGAGCAAAATGTGATTAGTTATCAGCCACAGGTATTACCTTCAATTTCTTACCTTTCCCTTTTACTTCTTATTGACAGAGCAAAATGTGATTAGTTATCAGCCACAGGTATTATCTTTCTCTTTTACTTCTTATTGACTGAGCAAAATGTGATTAGTTATCAGCCACAGGTATTACCTTTCTCTTTTACTTCTTATTGACTGAGCAAAATGTGATTAGTTATCAGCCACAGGTATTACCTTTCTCTTTTACTTCTTATTGACAGAGCAAAATGTGATTAGTTATCAGCCACAGGTATTACCTTCTCTTTTACTTCTTATTGACAGAGCAAAATGTGATTAGTTATCAGCCACAGGTATTACCTTTCTCTTTTACTTCTTATTGACTGAGCAAAATGTGATTAGTTATCAGCCACAGGTATTACCTTTCTCTTTTACTTCTTATTGACTGAGCAAAATGTGATTAGTTATCAGCCACAGGTATTATCTTTCTCTTTTACTTCTTATTGACTGAGCAAAATGTGATTAGTTATCAGCCACAGGTATTACCTTTCTCTTTTACTTCTTATTGACTGAGCAAAATGTGATTAGTTATCAGCCACAGGTATTACCTTTCTCTTTTACTTCTTATTGACTGAGCAAAATGTGATTAGTTATCAGCCACAGGTATTACCTTTCTCTCTTACTTCTTATTGACTGAGCAAAATGTGATTAGTTATCAGCCACAGGTATTACCTTTCTCTCTTACTTCTTATTGACTGAGCAAAATGTGATTAGTTATCAGCCACAGGTATTACCTTTCTCTTTTACTTCTTATTGACTGAGCAAAATGTGATTAGTTATCAGCCACAGGTATTACCTTTTCTTTTACTTCTTATTGACTGAGCAAATGTGATTAGTTATCAGCCACAGGTATTACCTCTCTCTTACTTCTTATTGACTGAGCAAAATGTGATTAGTTATCAGCCACAGGTATTACCTTTCTCTTACTTCTTATTGACTGAGCAAAATGTGATTAGTTATCAGCCACAGGTATTATCTTTCTTTTACTTCTTATTGACTGAGCAAAATGTGATTAGTTATCAGCCACAGGTATTACCTTTCTCTTTTACTTCTTATTGACTGAGCAAAATGTGATTAGTTATCAGCCACAGGTATTACCTTCAATTTCTTACCTTTCTCTTTTACTTCTTATTGACTGAGCAAAGATTAGTTATCAGCCATAGATATTAATTTACTGAGCAAAATGTGATTAGTTATCAGCCACAGGTATTACCTTCAATTTCTCACCTTTCTCTTTTACTTCTTATTGACTGAGCAAAGATTAGTTATCAGCCATAGATATTAATTTACTGAGCAAAATGTGATTAGTTATCAGCCACAGGTATTACCTTCAATTTCTCACCTTTCTTTTACTTCTTATTGACTGAGCAAAGATTAGTTATCAGCCATAGATATTAATTTACTGAGCAAAATGTGATTAGTTATCAGCCACAGGTATTACCTTCAATTTCTCACCTTTCTCTTTTACTTCTTATTGACTGAGCAAAGATTAGTTATCAGCCATAGATATTAATTTACTGAGCAAAATGTGATTAGTTATTAGCCACAGGTACTAATTAACTGATCAAAATGTGATTGGTTATCAGCTGAAGGTATAATTTGAATTTCTTACCTTTCTCTTTTGTTATTAGCTGAGCAATTTCATTTTTCAAATCCAATTACAACCACAAACACAATGATGCGCAATACAAATGTGTCTTTTATATTATACTACAGATTTAAAAATATGCAAATATTTGACAAATAAAAATTTCCTAAGAAAAAATATTAGCACTAAACTTAAGTTATATGCTTGACTTAAATAATTTAATTAAGTATTTGATAAAAGAATACTTCACCATCATTGCAGAAATAATTTTTAATTTAATTAGCAAATTTATCGAAATTTAAAATTTGTACTTTTATTCAAATTCAATTTTATCATAGTATCACATTTCAAAATAACATGACAATCTTATTTGGTAATACTTTGATAAACTTTATCATATATGACAATGAATTTTTTTGTTAAGTTAACTTTTTTTTACCGTAACTGTAAATTGTTAAGTTAATTTCAAATTTTGTATAACAATTTAGTTTAATAATAATAATTTTTCTAATAAAAAAGGAAACTCTTTGTGGAAAAATACTGATAGTACTGATAATTATGATTATTCTTACAGTTAGAAGCACTATCATCACTGATAATTAATTATGATTATTATTTTTACAGTTAGAAGCACCATTATCACTGATAATTAATTATGATTATTATTTTTACAGTCAGAAGCACTACCATCACTGATAATTATGATTATTATTTTTACAGTTAAGAGCACCATTATCACTGATAACAGAGACACCATCATCACTGATAATTAATTATGATTATTATTCTTACAGTTAGAAGCACTACTTAAGAGCATCACTGATAAATATAATTATTATTCTTACAGTTAGAAGCACCATTATCACTGATAATTATGATTATTATTTTTACAGTTAGAAGCACTACCATCACTGATAATTATGATTATTATTTTTACAGTTAGAAGCACCATCATCACTGATAAATATGATTATTATTTTTACAGTTAGAAGCACCATCATCACTGATAAATATGATTATTATTTTTACAGTTAGAAGCACCATCATCACTGATAAGAGAGGCACCATCACTGATAATTAATTATAATTATTATTTTTACAGTTAGAAGCACCATCATCACTGATAACACCAGCATTGGATTATACCGTAAGTGGTGATAACTTGGAATATATGCTAAGCAATTACTCGTCCACGATCTCATCCGCTGCTTCCGTTGCGTCAACGGGAAATGAGGTACGATCAAATGTTGCGGAACATTTACAACAGCAACAATATACGGGACAAACTGGTGCTAATAATACATTACGAACCGATGATGTAATTGTTGCTAGTGTTGTTACCACTAGTAATACCGGTAAAGAGGTACCACAGGTTTCGTGGTAATAAAAAAAGAAATTGGTTTTTTTTTTTGCAAACAATAATTTATCAATTATCATTGTCATTAGTGTTTTATCATCGTTATCATCATCATCATCATCATTAATTATCATTATTATCATATTTCCTATATGACAACGGTCTCATTGATACTCATTTTGTAGTCATTCATTTATCATTTGGGCTTATATTTCTATTCCCTATTTTTCATATTAATTTAAAGTATGCACTAAAAAAAAAAAATAGTAATAATAAATTAATTCAATTTTTACGTGATAGTGACGTAAATCAACGTGTTTTTTTTATTATTACCAATTTTCAAATTCGTTTGTATTATTAAATTTTTAGGTGAAAAAAGAAAAAAATTTTTTTTTTTAAACATTTAATTTTAAGTGCATACTTTTATTTATTCGTAAACTCAAACGTTTCTTCCTTTTTTTTTTTTTTTTTTTCGATCTCTATAAATACTATCATAATTAATTAAAAATTAAATTAAATTTTTTATTTCTTTTTGGAAAAAAAGGAAAAAAACTATCCTTCGTTTTCTCATTTTTTTTCAATTTTTATATGTTTAAAAAAAGGAATTAAATTTATGAATTTTTTTTTTTAATAGAAGGAAGTAAAAATTTTTTTAAGAAGATCAAATAGCTCTAACTAATTAATAAAAATACATAATTTATAATTAAATTTTTCTCTAATATTAAAGTATTTATTTTTTTTTATTCATTTATTTGTTTACTTTTTTTTTTGCTTTGTTTTTGGAATGAATAATTATAAATAATCAAAATTTACATTCCAATTTAGTAATCTTATCGTTCAGCATTCTTTTACAATTAAAACCTAAATTTGCATAATCAGTTTGAGTTTAACAATTTCTCTTTTTTTTAAAAAATTTTTTCCTCTTTTTTTTCTTTCCTCTCATTTCATTCGTTTATTTATTTAAATCCTAAAATTTGAATTTTGTTTAATATTTCATTTTAGTTGTGCATCATTCTAAAATATACAAAATGTCCTCTTTTAAATTTATTTATCTTTTTTTTGTTGATTAGAAAATAATACAAATTAGTTTAACCTAATATTAAAATTTTAAATTTAACATAATAATATTTTTTAATGAATGAATTAGAAGCGTAATTACTATCAAAAGGATTAATTGTTATATTATATTTACTTATAGTAATAGTAACTTTGTTTTTTTTTGGTGTGAGTTAAGTAATTAGTAATTTGTAAAAAGCAAAGTTAATTTTTCATATTTATTTATCATTTTTGAAAAGTTAAATTTACCATTATTTCAGTAAATATTTGATCATTTAATTTTTAATTATTATTTTATTTTTTTTTTTAAAAAACGAATTATATGAATTAGATGAAAAAAAATTAAAATAAGACACTTTTTTTTTTGCAAATATTTTTGATTGAAACATTCATTCGTTTTTTTTTCTTTTGTCAAATATTTTTTCAATCAGATTTTAAATTTGTAAAATTTTTATTAAATTTAGTTTTTAAATTTTTAAGCTAAAATTTTATATATGTGCCTTTGTATTGTTTTCGCATAATGATTAAAAAATATATGTGCCTCAATGATGTTTTTTTTTTTTATTTTCTGTTAATTTCTTATCATTATAATACTTTTTTTTCTTTCTCATATTAAAATGTTTCCTTTTTTTTTTTTTTTAATTTTAAATTTTATTTTGTTTTGAAAGAAAAAATTGTGCCTGAGATTCCTTTTTCTTTTTTTTTTTTTGCAGTTGTTATACCATAAATTTAATAATTCCAATGTGCCATATTTTGTACAGTTCAATGTTTTATATCATTTTTTTTATTTTTTTTTAATATATCTTTTTCTATTATTTTACTTTTTAAAACTTAATTTCTTTTTTTTTTAATTCCATTCATTTTGTTTTCCATTTTAAATAGAAAATACACTGCCTTAAACTTTAAATATATATTTTTTTTTCTTTTGCTGCAAAATTTAAAAGTATTAAAAAGTATAAAATTATAATTAATTTTAAAGATGCAAAAGTAAATAAAAAAAAAAGCTTATTAAAAATTTGAAATAAAAAAAAAGTGAACTAAAAGTTATTTTATTGATGGAACTGAGAAAACAATCGATAATAAATTAAAATATCATCAATCAGTGATAAATGTATTTGATAAAATTCAAAAGTTAGTAGTATGTTTTTTCTATTGTAACAATTTATTTTAACTTCTTTTTTTTTCTCTCTCTCTCTCTCTCCTTTTTCTCTTCTTCTAAAAATTCAAGTTTTTATATTCAGTAAATAGATTATGCAAAAATAAACAAATAAACAATACGGAATAAAACAACTCATCAGTGTTTCATCGACTGTTAAATCAAATAAATATCAATTTGAAATCGATTCATTCAGGAATGTTTCGGCAATTGCATTATTACAGTATTATTAATTTGAAACAAAATGATAAATGAAATTTAATTTGAATTTAAAATATTTGAGTCAATTTTTCATCCAAATATTCAGTTTGAATAAGGAACAAAATTTAGTTAATTTAAAAAAAAATCTATTTAGCATATTCTTTATCAAAATAAATTTTATACAATGTAAAGTATGAAGATATAAGTGGCAAATAAAATTATCGTATGACAAAAATGGCGGTGTTTTTTCAGTTAATTCATTTTAATAATTTGTTTTTTGTTAAAAAACTTTTCCAGTGTCTAAAATATTTGTAATACAATTACATTTTAAAATTTTAAGTATTAAAATTTAAATTAAAATTTTTGTTTTTCGTTTTTTATCCATTTCTCTAATTTCTTTCTCTTTTATTCATTAATTATTGTGGAAAAAAGAAGAGAGGAAAGGAATTTTTGAATTGCATAACGATAATTAATTAGTAGTAAATAGTTAGTCATAATTTTGTTTTGAAAATTATCTTCTTATTTTTGAAAAATAAGATATACAATAAAATGATAGAGTAATTTTGATCAAATTAACTAATAATAATAATAATAATAAATTGCAAATAGAATAAAATTATTTTTTTAAATATTTTCACATACCATTAATTCAATCATTTTTCCTGCTCCATTTTTTTTTTTGCTTCATATTATAATTAATATTTGTTATGTTCATAATAAATTATTAATGCATGAATTTGAAGTGTAATTTTTGCCCGTTCCCTTGTTGCTACCCATATTTTTGTTCCCATTCCCAACATTTCATTTTTCTTTTTCCCATTTTTTCTTTTTTTTTAAAATAATATATATATGCACTGATGAATTTTTTCTTTTGAAATTGAAACATAATTGCTTTTTTTGTAAGAAAAAATAGAGCAAAAAAACAATACCCGAATAATTTTACTACTGTAAGATTACGGTACTGATCGACAACTGTTGGCTACTGTAATTGCGGATGCTTCTAACGGCTGTGCTGGTTACTGTAGCATGAAGAACGATATTCAATAAAAATTATTATTTATTGTAGTTATAAATCAAGTGAACAACTAATGATTTATGTATGATACAGTATTAATTAGCAATTATTAAAGATACAGTATTAATTAACAATTATTAAAGATACAGTATTAATTAACAATTATTAAAGATACAGTATCAATTAACAATTATTAAAGATCAATTATCGTAATATAAATCGCAATACTGATTAACAATCTGCAGAAAACAAAAAACAGCAAATTAAATTCAAAAAAATTTAAATCAAAGCAAAAAATATATATTATGATTCTATTAAATTATTATTTTCATACTTATTCAGTGTAATTTCAATATTTTTTCAGTTTTTTTCTTACAAATAGTAATGATTAAGAAAAAATAAAAGTAATAAAATAGCTTTAAATCTATTAGCTCAGTATTTGTAGTTTTATTTTCAACAAAATTTTTTCAAATAACATTTACAGATTTAGTAGTTAAACATAAACAAGGCATATGGTGAAGAATTATATATCAAATATATTTTTGTTTACACAAATCAAATAATTGAAATGACAAAAAAATAGGATTTGAATTTAGTTTGATTTGTCCATGTTAAAAAAAAATACATTTGCTTTAACTTTTTTCCTTAATTTTTTTTTCTGAAAATATTAAAGGAATTCAAAATATTTTCAAAAAATTATAATCTTTTATTTTTTTTTTTCATTGAACAATTAAATGGTAAACTTATAATAATAAGTTAAAAAAAATGAAGCAATTATTCATATTTATTAAATATTTTTACTGAAAAATGAAAATAATGCATGTGGTTAATATTTAATTATTTCAAAAGAAAAATAATATTAAAGTAAGCTTTATTATCAAAGTAATATTAAACTAAGTTTTATTATCAATTAATAACAATTAAATACATTCATTTTAAAATACATTAGAGTAAATTATACTTTATAAATTTAAATTTGCATTTACATTATTTAATAGTTTTTTTTTCATTTTTATTTATAAATTTAATCTTTTTTTTTTTAACTTTTCGGTTTTTTTTCAGCTTTTTTAGTAATATTTTGATATTTTTTAGTTGTTGATTGCAGCATTGTTTTATTTACACTAACTATTGTTGTTGTTTTTATTATTTTCTCAGTTTTTTTAGGTATTACTGTTTTCGTATGACGAGTTATAAATGTAAATTTTACAGTGAAATTATGAATATTTGGAAGAATAATTTTTCTATATTGATTACGATAATATGCTTCACCTGCCTGATCATCATCAAAATCCGGATAGTGTCGTTTCAGTGGTTGTGCATCAGTCCAAAAACGTTTTGAACGATTCACTGATAATATTTCCGATTGTTCCATCATTTTTCTTGATACTATTTTCTTGTTTACATTACTGTTGATGCTATTTATTGGTATAATCATCAACAGGATGAAATCTGTGCAACAATTAATGTAAATAAACAAATAAATAAATAAATAAACAAAATAACTATTAATTACCTTTTGTAGAAAATTAAAATGAATAATTGATGAATTTTTGTTTTCTTTTTGTTTACTAAATTTGTGTCATTTTGAAGAATAAATTTAAATTTGTTATCTTTTACAGAAATTAAGATGAATAATTGATAAATTTTTGTTTACTAAATTTTGTCATTTTGAAGAATAAATTTAAATTTGTTATCTTTTATAGAAATTAAAATGAATAATTAATGAATTTTTGTTTTCTTTTTGTTTACTAAATTTTTGAAGAATAATTTTAAATTTGCATTAATGAAATAAAAAATTATAGTAGCGTTTGTAAAAAAAATTTTTGCAAACTATTTTATCATATATGTATAGAGTCTATTTAAATTTTAAATTTCATTTCAATTCATCAACTTGCTTATGCTGTGTGAAAATGTAATTTTAGATAAACTTAAAAATGGAATAAAATAACGAATAAAATTAAAATGATACTATTTCAACTAATTCTTTTAGTTTATAGTTGCTCTTTTCATTTTAAATAAGATTTAAAAAAAATTTAAATTTAATTAAATTAAGAAAAAATAATCATTACCAGTTATAATGATACTTGGATAGAATTTCAAATTATTTTCAACCATTTTTTTTTTTTCTAAAATTAAATATTATCTAATATTATTTTTAAACAACAAATTATACAATTTGGCTAAGCGTAATCCTAAAAAAAAAGAATGAACAAATAAAATAAATAACTACAAAAATCAATAACTATAAACAAGCAAATTCTAAAATGAAAAGTAACCTAAAATTAACCTAAAATTAGCAAATAAATATAAATAAAAGATTTAATAATTGAAAAAAAGTACTATTACTTATTAATATGCTAAAAAAAATCAATTAAAAGTATTTGTTATCATTTAAAAAAAAAATGCTTTGCTGTAAAATTTTTAATCTTTTGTTTTTCTCGAAGATTCTAATATTTTAATCATTCTCGTACAGAAATGAAATTTTAACAATTTAAAGAATTAATTAACTTAACAAATAATATATTTGAAAGAATGCAAAATTTTTAATTTCATTTTAAAAAAAGAAAGAAAAAGAGGATTTTGAGGGAAATTATGGAAAAAGTACCAATCTATTAAAATGTTTTTCAAATTTAAATGAAACTTTTGCAAGCAAATTGTTCATCACCGCTTCGATCATTTCCATTAATAGTTTATACATTTTGAAAAAAAGACAATTTGCGCTTTGATTGTATGAATAAAATGATTTAGAATTAATAAAATACATTTTATTTCAGCATTACAATATCTATTATTCATATTTTAATTTGTTTATTTATTTATTTATTTTTTTTTATCAAAAATTTTCGAAAAGTTTTTTTTTTCTTTCTTCCATTTTGTGGCGCTTTTTTCAATGGTAAAAATTAAATTAATTTTAGGATCAATTAGAAGGACAGAGAAGAAAAATAAATAATTTAAATGAATTCGAAATAAAATTTTTATGCCTAAAATATGTTATTAAATCTTACTTAAATATCTCAAATGATATGATATCTTATTTAAAAATATCCTAAATGATATGATATCTTACTTATCTTAAATGATAAGATATCTTACTTAAATATCTTAAGTGATATGATATCTTACTTAAAAATATCCTAAATGATATGATGTCTTACTTATCCTAAATGATAAGTATCTTACTTAAAAATATCCTAAATGATATGATATCTTAGTTAAAAATATCCCAAATGATATGATATCTTACTTATCCTAAATGATAAGATATCTTACTTAAAAATATCCTAAATGATATGATATCTTACTTAAAAATACCCTAAATGATATGATATCTTACTTAAAAATATCCTAAATGATATGATATCTTACTTAAAAATATCCTAAAATGATATGGCAATCCCTGAAATTACTTGTTAATCTATCATATCATTAATAGTGCCGTTTTTAGTCTGATCCTGTTCCGGATTCTTTACGGATTAGCCAAGATGGTTCAAATATTTTATGCAAAATATTTTTTCGCAATGGAAGATAGCAGCTCAAAAATGAGAAGTATATTTACCACCATATGCTAATTGCATTATATGACCTATGACCTCTGGCAAAATACAGGCCAAATGCAATGCTGGTACCATGGCCCAATTACATTGCCAAAACTATTGTTACCCAAAGCTATGTTATCAGAAGTTACTATAACCTACCCAAAGTTATATATTACCAGAAGTTACTTTTACTTTTAACTTTTACTTACTTCATGAAAAAATTGTGAAAGAAGGATCGATCACAACATTCACCACCATATGCTAATTGCATTATATGACCTATGACCTTTGGCTGGTACCATGGCTTAATTAGATTGCCAAAACTATTGTTACCCAAAGTTACTATAACTTACTCAAAGTTATATATTACCAGAAGTTACTTATACTTTTAACTTTTACTTACTTCAATTAATGAAAAAAGTATGAATGAAAAACCAATCAGAACAACAAAACAATATTTTATACTGGAAAATACAATACCTAAAAACATAAATACTTAAAAAATGAAACAAAATGATGATAGTTTAGATACTAAACTAATATTTCAACATATAAACAAAAAGAAAAAAGAAATTTTTTTTTAAAAGAAAAGGAAAATTTGAGAAATTTCCAAATATTTTGTACATCAAAATAACGAATATAAAAATAATTGATTAACTAATTAATTAACTAATCAATCAATAAATAAAAAAGTTTAAGAAAAAAAAAGAATTTTTCTCATTTTTTATAACAAACAAAAATAATTCATTCTATTTTAATTGTAATAAATAATTTTTAATGAAGAATGAAATGAATAACAAAATTTGAATAATATTTTAATGATATTTTTCTAAAATTATTCATTTGATTATTAATTAATAATATTAATTGGTATAAAATAGCACTTTTAAATTCTATTAAAAATTATTTAAAATATTTGAAGACAATTTCATTTCATTCAAAATAACAATTACACATTTACATTTTATAATTTCAACAACATTTCAAACATTTTAACATCTCAGATATTACTATTCCTGTAAAAATATATATCAGTAAAATTAGTATTTTATCATTTTTATCAAATTCATTTATCATTTTTTCTTTCATTTCGTTTTTATTTTATTCTCAAATAAATTTAATAAACGATAAGCCTTGAAATTCTCAAAATTTTTTTTTTTTGTTAATTTTAAATTTAATAAAAAAAGAAAAACTTTATGTTTAGCATTATTTTAGCAAAATCCTTTTTTTTTTCTATATTAACAAAAAAACAAAATGAAATTTTTTTTTTTGCTAAAAAATTTTGAAAAGAAAAAAATTGAATATATTAATATTTTTTTATCATTCTATCGTAAGTTTTATTTTTAAATTTTTACAAAAATTAAACTTTACTCTTCCACAATTTCAAAAATTAATTGAACTTTTTTTTTTTTAAAAAATCATAGCAATTCATTTTTGGAATACAAATTTATATTACTAATAAATAGCTGAGAAATTTCATAAAAAACATATTTGAAAAAGAAATTTGCCTTTCTTTTTCCCTTTCTTTCTTTCTTTCTCTCTCTCTCTCTCTCTTTCTTACCCTTTTAAATTGATAAAAATGATAAATATATTATCTGTTTAAAGTTATAATGCAATTTAATGCAAATATCACTGTATGATATTAATTACAAAATGCATTATGATAATTAATTTTCTCTTAAATTAAATATAAATAACAAAAGTGAGAAAAAAAAATTAAATTAAATTAAAAATAAAAATGTGAATTTCAGAGTATTCGTTGTGTTGAAAAATAAACAAATAAACAATTATTTAAAAAAGATTTTTTTTTTTGAATTTTTGACAAAAAAACAAAATTAAAAAAAATCAGTAAAAACAAAAAATTTAATTTTTTATTTTTTTTTCAGGAATTATGTATATCATTGAATTTTTCATTTCAACCATTCTCATTCATTCATCTTTTTGTGAATTTCCAATCGTTTAACTGATAGAATGTTCTCCTGAAAAAAAAAAAAAAAAAAGGAAACCTGAAATAATACTGAAATTCATTACATCTGATATTAGCTAAATGAATATTATTTTATTTATTAAAAAATTATCACAGTAATATTTCTTTCTAAAGATAAAAATTCATCTTAAACTTTGCAATTTCAAAATTTAATTTTAAAAATAGTAAATGTAATACATTACTTTATTTTATATTCAATTAATAAATTTGATAAATTTTCTGGTTGATAAAAAAAATGAGTGATAAAACTATTGTTTTATCATTTTTAAAATATTACTGTTAAATGAATGTTTTTTTTCAGTTATAAGATATATAAATGATAAGAATAAATTTAATTTTTTCTATTATTTCCGTAATTACTATTTATCACTGATAATTGCCTTTATCATTATCACTAGTTACTATTTATCATCTTTATCATTATCACTAAAACACTTACTGTTTAAGAGGTATAAATGATAAGAGTAAATTTTATTTTCCTTTTATTTCTCTAATTACTATTCATCATTGATAGCTGCCTCTATCATTATCACTAAAACACTTACTGTTTGCGAGGTGTGAATGATAAGAATAAATTTTATTTTTTAATTCGTTCTTAATTAGTGTTTATTATTGATAGCTGCCTTTATCATTATCACTAAAACACTTACTAATTACAATGATAGCTTCCAATTACTATTTATCATTGATAATTGCCTTTATGATTATCACTAAAACATTACTATTTACAGTGATAACTTCTAATTACTATTTATCTTCATCACTAAACCACTTATTGTTTACAGTGATAACTTCTGATTACTATTTATCATTATCACTAAACCACTTTTTGTTTACAGTGATAACTTCTGATAACTATTTACCATTGATAATTGCCTTTATCATTATCACTAGAACACTTACTGTTCACAGTGACCATTGATAATTGCCTTTATCATTATCACTAGAACACTTACTGTTCACAGTGACCATTGATAATTGCCTTTATCGTTATCACTAAACCACTTACTGTTCACAGTGATAACTTCTTGTTCTTCTGCTCCTGTATTACTTTGCTCCAATAATAGTTGCTGATCACTTAGCATATTGCATTCTTCCATTTCTTCCTATATAATAAAATTTAAAAAATAATTAAATTTTCTTAACTTAATAGTTTTTTTTTAAAAGAAATTTTTAATTAAAAAAAATTTTATTCAATTCTAATTAATTTGAAATTTTAAAGAATTAAGAAATGAATGAATAAACAAAAATTAAAAACAAATTAAAATTAATTTAAAACGTAAACAAACCTCATATTTCATTGATTTCATATGAAATGTTTCTTGCATTGTTGAAATATTTGCATTCATATCAGCTGCACAAATATTTTTTGATTCATTAAGTAAATCTATTGTTTGAATATTTTGCATATTGCAAATTCGCATTTCTGGATTTCCATTTTTATCAGTTATCAATGGAATTTTATCATTATCACACATGGAAGTGTCTATATTTGATGGAAAATAATTGTTAAATTCATTCTCGATTGATTCATTTATTGAATTTAAAATTAATTGACCATCTGCTGTTAAACCACTGATTAAACAGCAATATTTTGTTGTGATATCATTAGTAGCTTGAGAAATTTCATTTTTGAATTTTCTATTTTCAAATTTCAATTCCTGTTTGATACATTCCGGAAATTCATCAACAATAGAATTTGTTACTTGCTGTAGAGAAATATTATTTTTAACATTTGATTCACATTCACTTAACATATATTCATCCTGAGCGTTATCATTGCTCTGATAAGGAACTGATATGTTCATTTGTTCGCTGATAATACCATTTGATTCGAATATTATCATATTCTTATCAGAATTAATCATTTCATCTGTAAGCATTGATGAAGCAATGTTACATTCAGAATGCGAATTTTCCACTGATCTTTGCACTTTCTCATCTGATTTTAATTTTGATAAATCAGTACCTGTAAATTGAGTTCCATATTCCGGAATGCATTCAGGAACAACAGATTCAGTTTTAGCAATTTTTTTAATTTCATCTTTTGATATTTTACGTTTTGCAATTCTCTCATCAGTTAATTCTGCAATATTTTGTATTATATCATTCATATATTGTTCCAAAAAGTCATTTAGCTGCTCTCTCATCGATTGTTTCATCTCATTCACTTTTTCCGGTTCATTTGTAGATATTCCGGAATATTCCGGATCCATCATTTTAGCATTATCTTTCTCTATTATCATTGATTGTTTGATTGCTTCGTTATCAGTTTGCATTGTTATCATTTTTCTCATATTATCAAAATCTGAAATTGTCGTTTCATCACTACAAACAACAATTTTCGGAATTCCTTCATTGCATCTAGAATTTATTGTATTAGATATTTTCTCGAAATCTTTTGGCTCAAATAATTTCGATGATAATTTCTTTTCTTCTTTATCACTGATAATAATATCACTGATAATAACATTATCATTTTCCTCAGCTAATATTTCATTTTTTTCAATTTCTTCTCGACTACATTCTGATATAACTTGTCTCGAAATCATTGAATTTTCTTCGAGAGCATTTAATTCAATCGATGATATATCTGAGCGTGGAATTGTTGATATCAATGAATTTTCATTGCATTCTGATAAATCAGATTCCATTTCTGTTCCGTTCATTTTATCAATGCTCTTATCACTGATAACATTTTCTGTTGAATGGTTGTTTTCAAAAGAATGATCAGTATCAGTGATTGATCTATTCAAAGTAAAAGTATTGATCTGATCATCTGTTTCGTGTTTTATTGTTTCAAGTGAAGTTAGAATAAATGGTTGAGCATCTTGCATACCAGAAATTACAGGTTCAAAATTATTTGTTAAACCATCAATTATTAAATTTTCAGGATTCAGTAATATTGATTCCGGAAGTTTTCTTTTTACTGATGCTGTAATTATTTCAGGTTTATCTAACAGAATTGTTTCAGTGTTACTTGCTTCAATTACTTTATTATCGAAACTTTTGATGGTTTGTTGAGTGATAGATTCAGGTGATTTTGATGTTTTTGATTCAGTTTGTAGAATATCCTGAATTCCGCTTCTTTCCGGCTCTATTCCGGCTGTTCTTTCTACTCCTGAAATTTCCATTTCATGTAATATCCTTTTCGTTTGCTCTTGTAGTGCCATATTTTCAGTAATTTCATCCTGTATTCTAGAATGAGAATTTTCAATTAAGGATGATGTATCATTGACCGGAATATCGGAAATTAAAGTAGACGATTCGGATGAAATAATAAATGATTCCGGTTTTTCATCACTTTGATGCTTATTATTAAAATTTAGATGATCGTCTATATCAGTATCACATTGTTGGATTTTTGTATCAAAATTTTTATCAATTATTTTGTTTTCAGTTGCTGTAGTTGTTTCCTGATATTTTAACTGTTTATCGATGAGAAATTCCGGAAACTGTTCCACCTGAAAAACATCTTTCATCGATTCCAATTCATTATTTTTTGTTGCAATTTCAATTTTTTCACTCAAATGTTCAGTATCAGCAGTTATTTGCTGTTCATTTTCTACCGGATCATCCAATTGTTCAAATGAACTTTCCGATTTTGGCAACTCAAATGATTCATTGTTTGTTTTCGTTATTGACGTTGGCACTAGTTCCGGTGACTCAGACATTTTCCGAATTGGCGTTGATATTAGTTCCGGTAATTCTGACAATCTCTCAACATTACAGTCTTCTGTACCTTGATCAACCGAGTATTCAGCCTTGTTTAATTCCGTAAAATCATTACGGCATTCCTGATCATCTGAAAATTCAATTTCTGTATAACGTACATCTTCTTCTATTGCACCAACAGAGCAAAGTTTTTCTGCTGATGCCGAATTTTTGCTAACTGGAATCGAATCATCCGTTATAAATTCGGTTAGCTTTTCTTCTGTAGCAGGAATTTCTTTTGCCTGATCTACGGAATAGATTTCCGATATTACAACTGAATCATCTCCTTCCAATTTTCCTTCTGATGATATTTCTAAAATTTCACCATTAATTGCAACAAATTCATCTACATCATATTCCGTATCCGTTTTATCCATTTGAATTTCTTCCCTTGCTATTGTTTCAGTAAAACCTGCTTGTGTTATTTCAGGTATTTCAATATGTTTTTAGTATTATCAATTTCCGATTGTTTATCCGTGTGCAATTCCGATTCCGATTTTAAAATGTTCATTCGTGCTGGTGATGAAATAATTTCATTAAATTTTTCAAAATTTTCATTTATCATTTTATCATCCACTGATGATAATTTATCTAATCTTTCATCTGAATGATAAATTGATTGATTTTGTTTACTATCAATTTGTGTAATTTTTGTTTGATCAATTGAACTTTGACCTCTAGCTAATTGTTTTGCCTTCTTTTCCATTTTCATTCCAATTTTAGCTAAACATTGATCACCATCATCAGCATCATCATCATCATCAATCTCATCGGATAATATCATTTCCTGTGAATCACTATCATTTGGTATGGAATCAATTGATGTTCGATGACTCATCATCAAATTTTCAACTTCATCATCCGTTCTTTTCCATTTTGAAATAACAGATGAAGCATCAACTGATGATTGATCAGCTATTTCAAATTCTGTCTTCTTTGAAATTTCTGTTGATAAATCATCAAATGATAAATTTGAACTTTCCAAATGTTTAATTTCTAATTGCTCAAATTTTGCTTCTGATTCCGTAATCAGTTGTTGTGATACAGTCGATTGAATTTTCTGTTCATCATTTATTGATAGTGTTGAAAAATTATTCATTGGTGAAAGTGATTTTGCTGATATTGCTCCATTTTCAATTTTTAAATCAATACTTTCCGGTGATGTAATACCGGAATACATTTCTCTTTCATCATCATAATTTAATGCTGATTCGTCACTTCTATGTTCAATAATTTCCATTGTTGTCTTCAACTCAGTATCATTTCCTAATTCCGGATCAGTTTTTGATTTCATTCTTTCATCATCTACTTCTAATAATTTATGTCCTGTTAATGTTGTTGGCGTTGTTGTTGGCGTTGGCGTTATTGTCTTTTTTTGCGCAATTTTTTTTCCTGGCGTTGTTGTCCTACAAAATTAAAAAGGTTTTTTTTTTCTCATTTCAAATAAATCTTTAAAATTGGCTAAAAAATTTTTTTTGAAAAAATTAAAATTAATTAAAATTTTTATTATTTATGAAATAAATGTATTTTTAATCGAATAGTTATCAAATAGAAGTACTTATCAAACATAAAAAAGTTATCAAATAAAAAATACTTATCAAATAAAAGTAGTTATCAAATAGAAAATACTTATCAAATAAAAGTAGTTATCAAATAGAAAATACTTATCAAATAAAAGTAGTTATCAAATATAAAAAAGTTATCAAAAAGTTTTTAAAAGGATTAAAAATTTGATTGATTGATAAATTTAAAAAAAAAAAAAGAATCGAATTAACAATAATTTACTTTTTTGCGCGCGATGTTTTGATAATATCTGATGCACCACTACTTTTTCCATTTGATAAAGTTACTGATAAGCGAGTGTTATTATCAGTACTACGTTGTCGTTTTGATTGTAAACGGTTGTTAACATATGAATTATCAGTTATACCACTTCTCGATGATTGTGGTTTAGTTGAACGACTACGATGTTGATTTAATGATTGAATACTTCTGAAAAAAAATTTAAATTAATAAAAATAAAAAAAAGAAATTTAAAAAAATAAACTTTTTTAGTTTTTCTTTCTTTTTTTTCTTTCAGTTTTTCTCATTTCAAAAGATTTATTTTGTTAAATTATACAAAAAAAAAAAGTTCAAAATAAACTAATAATATTGTAATAAATTATAAAAATCTAAAAAATTTTAAAAGATCTAAAAGAAAATTCAAAAAAAAAAAAGAAATGTAAAAGAATTATAAAAAATTTAAAAGATTTTAATTTTAACATATATTTAATAATTACTTTTCTAAAAAATATAAAAAAATTACAGTAAGATAGGTTGATGGTAAAAATTTTAATTTATTATTCTTCATTTAAGAAATAAAATAATTTGTTAATTTGCTAAATTTAAAAAAATTTTCATTTACATTTCAAAAAATTTTATTAGCTATAATTAATATATAAATAAATAATATTTTAGAATTAAAAATTTTCTGCAATTTTTTTATTTCTAATTATAATAATATACTTGAAATGATTATTTTTTTTTCATTTTGCATGATGCACAATTGTATGAATAAAAATTTTTGGTATAAAAATTTTAATTAAAAAAAAAAAATTGTAAAAAAATGAGAGAAAGAAATTTAAATAATTTACATCTCTTTTTTTAAACATTGTTTTATTTTTCTATTTAATTTTTTTTATTAAAAATATATAAAAGTAAATAATATTATCATTGTTTTATTGTTTACTGCATAAATTAAATTGATGAATGATAGTTTTTATTTAAAATTTTTAAAATTTTATTTCAAAATTAACTTGATAAATAATAGTTTTATTTTATTATTTTTTATTTTTAATTAAATTTAAAAAAATGATAATTTTAATTTTAATGCTATAAATTTATTCATTTTTTATAAGATATACCAAATTATTATAACAATATTATTGATAATATTTTACCTTTTTATAGCTACCACACCTGTTTACAATAATGTTTACAATTTATTATTTACAATAATAAATAGAATCTACTATATCATATGATCCAAAATAATTTCAGTGCTAATTTTAATCTAATAAATGACACAAAAATTTTATTTATTTCCGAGTGTTCATTTTGTTTACTTATTGAAATTGACCAATTGTACTAAAGAATCTATACATTGGGAATTAAATTATTTATAGAATTAAAAAAGGAAAAAATGGTTAAAAATTAATTCCTAAATTCAGGTATGCAAAAAAAAATTGATCTACTCATTAAGAATTAAATTATTTCTAGAATTAAAAAAAGAAGAATAGTTAAAAATTATTTCCTAAATTCAGGTATGCGAAAAAAAATGATCTAATTAAGAATTAATTATTTATAGAATCAAAAAAAAGAAAAATGGTTAAAAATTAATTCCTAAATTCAGGTATGCAAAAAAAAAAAATAATCTATTTTATATATATATATGAATGGAATTTAAAAAATTAAATTAAAAAAAGTTCAAAAATTAAAAAAAAAGAATTTTTCTTCCTTTCTTGTTGTTGTTACTACCTTTTTTTTAAATAGCTATTCCACTTGTTTACAATAATAGCATTGTTTTTTTTTATTTTTCAACTTTTTTTTAAAAATTTTTTGATAAGTAATTTTTCCTCTAAAATTTAACTAAAAAAAAAGGAAAGGAAAACAAATTTTTATTAATTGATGGTAGGGTATTTGATCAAAATTTAGTAATTTCAGTGGTTTTTTTTTTTGTTGTGGTGGTTGTTTTTTGTTTTTTTTTTGAATACCTCAAAGATGGTTGTTCATAAATATTGGTTTGTGTGGTAGAAGATGTAATAGTAGTGGTAGTATTGGTAGTATTGGTAGACGTAGGATCGGTCAAACTGGGTAGTGACCTGCGCCTGAAGAACCAGGACACTTGAGGATCATTTTGATGTCGTGCAACCGAGAATGGACCAAATGAAACTTGGCGGAAACGTTCCAAACGGCTCAATTGTCGTCGTAGTTGTTGCATGTATAGAGCTAATGTTTCGTCATCCAACTTCAAAAAAATAAAATCAAATTTTAAAATTATAAATTTAAAAAAATTTATTTTTAATTAAACTTTTTTTCTTCCACTTTCATTTAATTTAATTGTAAATATTTATTTAATTTGACAATAAGACTTTTCATAATTATAAATAAGCAAACATTGATTAATCTAAAATTATTTTTTTATCATTTCTTTTATTTAACATAATTTTTAATTAAAATTTTTTATTTTTAACTTTATTGATCTTTCTTTCTTTTTTTGTTCAATAATAAATATTATTTAGTTTAACAACAAGACTTTTCATAATTTTAAATAAGTAAACATTAATAAATCCTTTAAATAAGTAAACATTAATATTTTAAATAAGTAAACATCAAGAAATCTACAATCATTTCTTATCATTTATATCACATATTTTCTTTGATTTAATTTCCAATTAAAATTTTCAACTTTAACCTTATGTAAATATCGATCTTTCTTCTTTTTTTATTTAATATAACAAAAAGACTTTTTAAATAAGTAAACATTAATTAATCTTTTAAATAAGTAATAAATAAATTTTAAATAAGTAAACATCAATAAATCTACAATCATTTCTTATCATTTATATCATATATTTTCTTTGATTTAATTTCTAATTAAAATTTTCAACTTTAACCTTATGCAAATATCGATATTTGAGTATATTTGTTGATAGTCTATTATAAACCAACGATGGATTTTCATACATTGGTTCCTCATTTTCTGCTTCAATTTTTTGTACCAAATTTTTATCATCAATACTAGCTGATGATCGTCGCCTTCTTGATCTTTTGATATAACGCCCTATTAAAGAAAAAAATCAGCAAAAAAAATTTTTTAAATTATTAATTGAAAATATAATTTAAAAAAAAATAATAGAATAAGACTAAATTGCATTTCTTCAGTAGAATTTTCTTTTTTTTTGTTTTTATTTTTTTTATGTTCAAATAAATTAAAAGGTTAATTTTTTTTTCTTATTTCAATTTAATTTACAGTATTCAAATTATATTTGCAGTTTTTTTTTCTTTCTTTTATTCATTGATAACAAATATTTACTTTTGTAGCTCGGACAGGTAATGAATTAATTGATTACAACTACACTTATCATTGATGATAATTTAAAATCAAAAGGAAAGACAAATGAATGAGTAATTAGTTTAATAGAGTAGTGAAATAGATAAGTGATAAAATAAGCAAACATACTTGAATGAGCAATTACTTTAATAGAGTAATTAAATAAGTAAGTGAGAAAATAAGTAAACATACTTATCACCAGTGATAATTTAAGATAAAAAAAGATGAATGAGTAATTACTTTAACAGAATAGTCAAATAATTGATAAAATAAGTAAACACACTTATCACTAATGATAATTTAAAATCAAAAAAAAAGAAAATGAATGAGACTTTAATAGAGTAGTCGATTAAGTGATAAAATAAGTAAACATACTTATCACTGATAATAATTTAAAATCAAAAAGAAAAAATGAATGAGCAATTACTTTAATGGAGTAGTTGAATAAGTAAGTGATAAAATAAGTAAACACACACTTATCACTGATGATAATTTAAGATAAAAAAAGATGAATAAGTAATTATTTTAATAGAGTAATCAAATAAGTGATAAAATAAGTAAACAATAAACAAATAACTATTAGAAGCTTTTTTCGCCTGGTTATTTGATTAATTTATCAAAATAAGTGTATGTAAGATATTGTTTGCAAAAGTTAACTTATCATTTCAACAGTGATTTATCTTTTACTATTTACCATGCAATTATCACTACTCTAAATTAGAATATGGATAAAAAGGATTAGTAAGGGTAATATCTGGGTAAAGTAATACTAGTTAAAACATTTTTAAATGATAAACTAAATTTAAGAAATAAACAGATCAACAATTACATCAAATGTTATTACATTTTTCATTATTAATCAAAAAGTTTTGATCAATAAAGAGTAACTTTAATGGAGTAATCAAATAAATAACTGATAAAATAAGTAAACATACTTATCACCAGTGATAATTTAAGATATAAAAAGATGAATGAGTAATTACTTTAACAGAGTAGTCAATTAAGTGATAAAATAAGTAAACACACTTATCAGTAATGATAATTTAAGTGGCAAAAAAAAATATTTTAAAAATTTTATTAAGAAATAAATTTTTGCTTATTTAATTGTAATTAATTTGAATTACACTAAATTAACAAAAATGGTAAATGATTACCTCGACTGAGACTACGAGAAGGTTTTGCTCGATGACAATCACTTGGACTTGCTGTACCACTCTAAATTATTAATTAATAATTTTAAAATATTTAAAATTAATTATTAATTAACAATTAAAATATTTAAAATCAAAATTAATTTTTTAATAATTATTAAAACTGTTAACTGTAAACAATGTAAGCATTAATAATATATTTTTTTTATTTTGTTACAAAAAGAAAAGGAACTTAAAGTTAAATTTCTTTTTTAATTTAAATTCCTGGTTAAACGCGAAATACAACAAATTTCAAATTAATTTTTTTTTGCAAAAATTTTTTAAAAAAAGAAAGTGTAAAGATAAAATGATGAACTCTTATCCTACGGCAGATTTCAATTTTTTCCGCTGCATGCAACTTGCGCTGCAAGTCGGCATATTTCTGCAATTCAGCTTCACGATTTCGTAGCATTTTATCGATCATTGTGTGACGCTGTTTATTACTATCTCTGTTATCTTCATTTTCACCATTTCTGATATCATCCAGCTAAAATGAATTAATGATAATGAAATGATCAGAGCAATCAATGATAATGGAGTGATTAAAGCAATTAGTGATAATTAAATGATCAGAGCAATCAGTGATGATGGAATGATCAAGAAATCGATGATAATAAAATGATCAGAGCAATCAATGATGATGGAATGATCAAAGCAATCAGTGATAATTAGATGATCAGAGCAATCAGTGATAATGGAATGATTAAGAAATCGGTGATAATAAAATGATCAGAATCAGAGCGACAAGTGATAATGAAACGATCAAGAAATCAATGAAAGTGAAATGATCAGAGCAATCAATGATGATGGAATGATCAAAGCAATCAGTGATAATAAAATGATCAGAGCAATCAATGACGATGAAGTGATCAAAGCAGTCAGTGATAATGAGATGATCAAGCAATGAGTGACAATAGAATGATCAAGAAATCGGTGATAATGAAATGATCAGAGCAATCAATGATGATGAAACGATCAAGAAATCAATGATAATCAAATAATCAGAGCAATCAGTGATAATGAAATGATCAGAGTGATCAGTGATAATAAGATGATCAATGGTCAAGCAAACGGTGATGATGAAGTGATCAAAGCAATCAGTGATAATGAAGTGATCAAGACAATCAATGATAATGAAATAATCAGAACAAATGAGATGATCATGCAACCAGTGATAATAAAATGACCGGAGCGATAAGTGATAATGAAACGATCAAGAAATCAATGATAATCAAATAGTCAGAGCAATCACTGATAATGAAATGATCAGGGCGATCAGTGACAAAGAAATGATCAATGGTCAAGCAAACAGTGATAATGAAGTGATCAAAGCAATCACTTCAATTCAATCATTCAATTTCTATTTAAGTTTTAATCATAATATACAATATGTTTTATCGTTTTTTGATTTCCTTCGAATTTATTTCAATAATAAATTTTCTGAATTTAATAATAAATTTTTAATCAAAATTCGTTCTATAAGAATATATATATAACTTTTTGTGAAATTTTCGAAAATATTAAAAAAAAAATAAATTATATAAAAATTTTTTATAAGTTTATTAATTTTCATGCACTCAACTTTTTTCATACTTTATAATTAGTTGAATTTTAATAATAATAATAAGTACCTTTTACACCATTATATTTAATTCTAAATTCAATCTCACAATGACAAATATTTTGTGATATTATTTAAAACAAAAAACAAAAATTCGACAATAAATATTTATGGAATAATAGTTTATCAATTAAATTTCATACTTTATAAATTTAAAATTTAAAATAAACTACTATAATGTTTGTTTTAATAGTTTTTGTAACTTAAAAATAAACCATTTCATTTTGTTTATCTCTCAGTAATTAAATCAAACTTTATTTTATTCAAAAAAAAAAAATTTAAAATTGAAACATATTTTGTTTACTTCTTCTCTATAATCACAAAAGTAAGAGAAATATTTTTATGACATTGTAAAAAATTATTAAAATAATTTCTCAATAATTTATTATTCAACCGTAAAAAGAAAAGATACAACAACAAAAGAAAAAAAAAACTAATAAATTCTTTTAAAAATAAAAAAAAATAGAATTTTTTTTTTTGAAATTACTCGAACAATTGTTGAATAAAACTATAAATTTTGATAAAAAAAATTTTTCCGCTTTTTTTTTTAATTTAAATTCATTTTCGCATTTGATTTTTTTGCTTTTCAATTCAATTTTTCAAAAAAAAAAAAACGCAAATCAATTTGCGCCAATTTATGATAGATAAACTGAAATTTCAATAACTAATTGTCGTAAAAATTGAAATGAAATGGAAAAAAAAATTGGTGAAAAATTTTTGAATTATAATTTCCAATTTTTATTTTAGTACCATAAACTTTTAAAACTACCAAAATGAAGCAAAAAATTAAAATTTCCTTTAATTAATATTAATTTATCATTATTAAAAATAATAAATTATGGATGTTTGATAAAAATTAATTAAAATGCTTTTTAAATTTATTTAAATTTACCTTCATATTTTGAAGTAGCATTTCCCATTTAACTAATTATCGTTAAAATTGAAATGAAATAAAAAAAAAATGTTAAAAAAATTTTAAACTATAATTTCCAATTTTTATTTTAGTATCATAAAATTTTACAACTAATAAAATGAAGCAAAAAATTAAAATTTTCTTTAATTAATATTAATTTATCATTATTAAAAATAATAAATTATGGATGTTTGATATGAATTAATTAAAATGCTTTTTAAATTTATTTAAATTTACCTTCATATTTTGAAGTAGCAATTCCCATTTAGCTAATTATCGTTAAAATTGAAATGAAATAAAAAAATTGTTGAAAAAATTTTAAACTATAATTTCAAATTTATATTTTAGTACCATAAAATTCTAAAACTAATAAAATTAAGCAAAAAAATAAAATTTCCTTTAAATAATATTAATTTATCATTATTAAAAATAATAAATTATGGATGTTTGACATGAAATTTATTAAATTAATTAAAATGTTTTTACATTTAGTTAAATTTAGTTTCATATTTTTAAAATGTCTTTACATTTAAATTTAATTTCATTTAATTGATCAATAAGCATTCGAGAATTATGCAAAACAAAAATTCAATATAATTTTGCAATTTGATTTTTTGAATTTTTAAATTGAAATGATTTGCGCTTTTCATCATGTAAGTAATCAATTATTTGCAACAAAATTACTAATTATTCAATTCTGAATCAAACAAATTAAAGTTTCACATTTTGACTGAAAAAAAAAGAAAAAAAAAGGATAAAGTTTAATTGTATATTAAAAAATAAAGTATTTAAAAAAAAATATTAAATACTAAAATGAAGTATTAAAAAAAATTAAATGTTAAAATAAAAAATATTTAAAAAATTACGATAGTACTTTGAAAGTAAAAAGTTTAGTGCAAAATATAAAAGTGTCGTTTTTTGTTTTTTTTCAAAAAAAAATTTTATTAATTATTAAAATTTAAATTTTGTTTTTTTTTTTTTGCAAAAAATTTACCCAATTTTAACTTTTATAAATTAATAATTTTTATTGATAAATGAATCAAATTTCATTGTAAATATGAACTAATCAAATTTAAATATAACTTTAATTATATAATTAATTGAGCAGATGTATTATTTACAAAAATTGAATTTAAATTTAATTTAAAAAATCAAATTGAACTTTTATTTCATTTAATTTAAATAAATTTAATTTAAAAAAAAAAAAAAAGCAAGAGAGAGAGAGAGAGAGAGAAATCTTACCAAGCCAATATTCCTTAGATGACGTTGCATATGCGGCATTGCAAAATATTGGCGCAAATGTACATCGTACAATGGATTATAGTTATCCAATAAATCGTCATTCATTGTAATAGTGGAAGTCATATATGAATAATTGATCTTCAGTTAAAATTTTTTTAGCAGTAATTATCAGAATTAATAAATATGTGAAAAATGTAAATTTTATTTCCAAAAAAAAATATTTTTTTCCCTGATCAATCGATCAATCAATAAATCAATCAATAAATCGATGAATCAATTTGATAAATCAAATTGATTTATTCTTCTGTTTTCTTTTTGTTGTTATTGTTCAAAATGAATGTTTATTTTTTTTGGGAATGTAATTTGTTGTAACTATTTCGATAGAATATGATGAAAATGTTTGTTTGTTTGTTTGTTTGTTTACAACATAAAAAAGTAAACAATAAATTTTAGTAATAAATAAATTTTTAATATTGCATTAAATGTGAAAAAAAATGATAAAAGATATTAATATCAGTTATTTCCAAAAGTATAATATTAATTAATTTCCAATTTAATTTTTTTATACTCCCCTTTTTTTTCCTTCTCTTTTGTTTATTTATTTATTTAATTTTTTGTTTGTTCGCAGATAATAGTGAAAAAATTTTTTTGAACAATTAACAAATTTGATAATTGATTGATACAGTAAAGTAATTATGAATCCTGAAAATAAAATAATTTTTAAATTTAATCATTAAAAATTATTTATAATATACAATCGTAAATACGTTTTTTTGAAAAATTTATTGTTGTAATATTTTTTTTTTTAAATGAAAAATAAAAATATAAACAAAAAAAAAGAAAAGAAAAATATTTTTTTCATATGTAATTAAATAATGCAAAAATAATTGGTAATTGAATTTGAATAATTAAACAATGCAAAAATAATTAGTAATTGAATTTGAATAATTAAATAATGCAAAAATAATTAGTAACTGAATAATTAAATAATGCAAAAATCATTAATAATTGAATTTGAATAATTAAATAATGCAAAAATAATTAGTAATTGAATTTGAATAATTAAATAATGCAAAAATAATTAGTAATTGAATTTGAATAATTAAATAATAGAAAAATAATTAGTAATTGAATTTGAATAATTAAATAATACAAAAATAATTAGTAATTGAATTTGAATAATTAAATAATACAAAAATAATTAGTAATTGAATTTGAATAATTAAATAATACAAAAATAATTAGTATTTAAATTTGAATTAAATTATGACAGTTGACAAAAACGAAAACAAAAACAAAAAAAAATCGATTCGTCGCATAAAATTGAATTTTTCTAACAAATCATATGTCAATTGTTTATCTATCAAAATCAAATATTTCAAATATATCCAAACACATACATACATACACGTACAGACAGACACGTCACATACAGACACAGACATGGAGACACATCAAATACTTCAAATATATCCAAACACATACATACATACATACACGTACAGACAGACACGTCACATACAGACACAGACATGGAGACACATCAAATACTTCAAATATATCCAAACACATACATACATACACGCACAGACAGACACGTCACATACAGACACAGACATGGAGACACATCAAATACTTCAAATATATCCAAACACATACATACATACACGTACAGACAGACACGTCACATACAGACACAGACATGGAGACACATCAAATACTTCAAATATATCCAAACACATACATACATACACGCACAGACAGACACGTCACATACAGACACAGACATGGAGACACATCAAATATATCCAAACACATACATACATACACGCACAGACAGACACGTCACATACAGACACAGACATGGAGACACATCAAATACTTCAAATATATCCAAACACATACATACATACACGTACAGACAGACACGTCACATACAGACACAGACATGGAGACACATCAAATACTTCAAATATATCCAAACACATACATACATACACGTACAGACAGACACGTCACATACAGACACAGACATGGAGACACATCAAATACTTCAAATATATCCAAACACATACATACATACACGCACAGACAGACACGTCACATACAGACACAGACATGGAGACACATCAAATACTTCAAATATATCCAAACACATACATACATACACGCACAGACAGACACGTCACATACAGACACAGACATGGAGACACAGGCAAACACTGAGTGTCACATCATGATGCATCGTGTCACATCCTATGTGACAGCGAAAAAGTTCTCCTCTTCTGTACTTTATCATTGTTTATTTCATATTTTACAAATTGTTACATTTGAGAAAAATAAAATTAACAAAAAAAAAAAAAAAAATTGAAATGAAAAGTAGAACATAACAATAAATACAAGAATGAAAAGGTCATTATTTAAAAATTTAAAAAAAAAAAATGAAGCAAAAATTTTGATTTCTCTTTTTTTTTTTTTAAACTAAAATCAAAATTAACAAAATTCATAATTTAAATAATTCATTTGTCTGTTTTTTTAATTACACTTAAAATTCATATTAAAATTCAAAAGTCATATAGAATTCATTTTTTTAATTACACTTAGAAATTCATAATTTAAATAATTCATTTGTCTGTTTTTTAATTACACTTAAAATTCATATTAAAATTCAAAAGTCATATAGAATTCATTTTTTTAATTACACTTAGAAATTCATAATTTACATAATTCATTTGTCTGTTTTTTTAATTACACTTAAAATTCATATTCAATTAATAATGAAAGTAGATTTAATGATAAAAAAATGATTCAAAAAAAAATAATAAATTAATAAAATTAAATTCCTCCCAGTTTCTCCCATTTTCTTTTCAATTTATTTCTCATTTAATTATGACAAATAAAATTCTCTCATTCTGATAATATTTTTCTTTTTTTTCTGCATTTTCTTATCATAATTTATCAATTATTCCTATCTGATAACGTCTGAAAAGAAATAAACAGAAAATTTGGGTGATAATTAAATTTGAAATAAAATTAATTAAATAAAATAATTTAAATAATTATTTAAATATTTTAAATAGACAACAAATTCAATTCGATATTATTTTTTTTTTTTTTATTAAATTTTTATTTTTGCAATATATTTCGCTTGCTGAAATGTAATACTTTTATTTGAATTATAAATGAATAAATATAATTTTTTGTTTTTTGAATTTATTGGAAAAGAAATGAGAAAAATTATTTTTGAAATGATAAATTACATCATTTTAATTTCTTTCTATTTTATTGACATTTTTGAATTTCTCTTTTTTTTTTCTTCTTCTTCCATTCCATTTCTTACTTTTATTTGTTTCTATTAATAAAACAAAATTTTAAAGCAATTTAAGTGATAAATTTCAAAAATATTGAACAGTCAATTATAACAAATACTGCAAGATTGAAAAAAATAAAAAAAAAATTTATTTTAAAATGGAAAAAAAATTTTTTGTTAAAATTTTTCTCGACGAAAAAATAAAAGAAAACAGAAAATTATTAATAAAATTGACAGTTAGAAAGCTGGAAAAATAACTTAAAAATATTAATAAATTTCTGAAATTATATTAAAATTATTGAAATTAAAAAATTAATATAAAAATATCATTTTTCCATTTATTTGTTATTTTATGACAGTTATAAATTTGATTAGAATTTTTTTTTCAAATTAATTTTAGTTAAAAATTATTTTCCACTGATTTGAATTTTATTCAATATTTTTAAAAAATTAATAGTTAATAAAAAAATTGAATTAAATTTCATACAAATGAGTGTATCAAATTGATTGTGATCGACCTTTTAAACTTAAGTTTTGAAAAATAATTGACCTTTTAAACTTAAGTTTTGAAAAAAAAATTTTTTTAATTTAATTTTAATTAAAAATTATTTTGCACTGGTTCGAATTTAATTAAAAAAATTGAATCAAAATTCAAACAAATGAGTGTATCAAATTGATAACTGATGAATACATGCATGAAGTAATTGACCTTTTAACTTAAGTTTTTTTAAAAAAAAAAAAAAAAGTAAAATTAGATCAAGGAAGTTCAGAAAGGGAAAAAAATAAATAAATTGAAATGAATGTAATGTAACAATGTTAAACGGAAGTAATAAAAAAAAAATAATTAGTGGAAAAATTAATTTTGAAATTTTAATAATTTTTTAACATTTGAATTAATTCAAAGAATTTACTTAAAAATACAAACTTTCCAAACTAAAAATTTAAATGAACTCATTAGCAACAAAAAAAAATTTCAAAAAAAAAATGAAAATATGAAAAATGAGACATGTCTGCTTCATAGTTGACGTCAGCTTTTCAATCAATGATTCATAGTTTTCGAAATTTGAAACTAAAAAATTTTTTGAATTTCAACGAGAACGAACATTTATTGTTATAAAAATTAGCAATTTTTTGTTTTGTTGAAAAGTTTTTTTTAAAAAAAAAAATTTTTTTTAAAAACGGAAAATTAGTAATTTTTTCATTAAAACAAATAATATTACAAGAAAATATACATATGTAATTATTATTATCTTTATTAAACTTGGTGAAAATAACAATTATTAATGAATTAAATTTATGAATTAAATTTATTTTTTGTCAAAAGTTTTTAAAAATTGAAATAATTGTAAAATTTGTTAAGAAAGTAAAGAAAGGAAAAGAAAAAAACTTTGTTATTGAAATAATTAATTTTGAATATTTTCAAGACTTATTATTTTGTTATGTAAATTTTTTTTTTTTAATTTTTTAATTTATATTTTTTTAAAAAGAATTTACACTGACATTCAATTTGCTTAATCAAGAAGCTATTAGTTAAAAGTTAGTTCAAAAATTTTCATCAATTCGATATAATTCTATTTATCACTCAAATTGTAGCGAACATTTCAAGATGTGATAATTGATATATTATAGATATTATTATTTTTGGTTGGAATATTTATATTTTAATTCAACAGGTGGTTTTTTTTCAAATATCAATGATTAGTTGATAAATAATTAAAATTACTTTATGATAAGGTTAACCAAATAATTGGGAAAAGTAATCATAGGTAAAAGTAAACGTGAAAGTATGCTTATA